CCAAGTCCATATTCTATTCCAGGGATGTCATATTTGTTGAACATATCTTCCCATCTACTTCAACACCTTCTGGTTTCTTTCCTTCTTCTACTCCCTCTTTTTCTGATCACATCACTCCCAATGATGTTCCTACTCATATCTTTTCACCATCACACTGTTCTGATCCTGCTCCTACCCCTTCTTCACCCTTTCCTTTTCTTGATCATGCTACTGCTCCTTCTTCACCCTTTTCTTCTCCTATTCCCTCTCCTGAACCCGGTTCTGTCCCTTCACCCAATATTACACAACACACACAAATTCCTCCTTCTTCTTCTCTTCCTTTGAGAAAATCTTCTAGGTCTACAACCACTCCTAACCACCTTAAAGACTACATTTGCTATGTTGTACCTCCCACATTTCCTGCTAATTCTTCTTTTTCATCTCAATCTATTTCACCTGCCACCTTGCTCGAACCTTCCTTTTACCATCAAGCTGCATCTAATCCTGCCTGGCAAGAGGCAATGTTGAAAGAATTCCAGGCCTTGAAATCTAATCTAACTTGGGAAATTGTTCCTTTACCACCTGGCAAGAAAGTCATTCCTTGCAAATGTGTGTACAAATTAAGCAAAAATCTGATGGTAGCATTGACAGATACAAAGCAAGATTGGTCATTAGGGGAGACACTCAGCAGGCTGGTGTTGACTATTTTAAAAATATTTTCCCCTGTGGTCAAGTTCACTACCATTAAATGTTTGCTTGCTTTGGCTGCCAAATCTTCTTGGTCTACATACCAGCTTGATTTTAACAATGCTTTTTTGCATGGGGACCTTTCTGAGAAGGTGTACATGAAAATTCCTCTTGGCATGACTGTCTCTTCCTCTTCTTCTGGTCCTCCTCTGGTATGCAAACTCAAGAAATCACTATATGGTCTCAAACAGGCATCAAGAAAATGGTTTGCTAAATTGTCCAATGCTCTCATTTCAATGGGATATTCCTCCAACCTTAATGACTACTCATTATTTTTTAAAATAACTACCTCTTCCACTGTTTTTATAGTTGTTTATGTGGATGATATATTGTTGGTTGGCAATGACACATCTGAATTGGACTCTATCAAATCATTTTTAGACACTCAATTCAGAATAAAGGATTTTGGTTCTGTTAACTATTTTTCGGGGCTTGAGGTTTCTCAACTGCCCCAAGGCTTGTTGATCAACCAACACAAGTATCTCAAGGAACTCCTTACTGAGTTTCATTGTGAGTCTGCTTATCCTGTTGCTACACCATTGGATATGTCTATAAAGCTTACTCTTACTTTTGGTGATCCATTGCCTGATGCTTCCCCTTATAGAAGGCTCATAGGTAAGCTGAACTTTCTTCAACACACAAGGTCTGATATTTCTTTCTCTGTTCAGCACCTAAGCCAGTTCCTTAATGCCCTTACAACTGCTTATATGCAAGCATGTCTTCATGTTTTGAGGTATTTGGTTAAGGATCCAGCCAGAGGAATTCTTCTTAATAACAATAAGGATTTTTTAGTCATTGCCTATTCAGATTCTGACTGGGCAGGGTGTCCTTCTTTTATGAAATCTGTGACTGGTTATTATGTGACACTTGGGGGGAGCCGTATTGCTTGGAAATCTAAGAAACAACCTAAAATATTATTGTCTTCTCCAGAAGCTGAATACAGGGCTCTTCGAAAAACTGTTGCTGAACTTACTTGGCTCGTTAGACTGTTGGCAGACTTGGGTCTTTCTACTTCTGCTCCTATTCCTTTGTACTGTGGCAACAGGTCATCCATTAGCATTGCTAAGAACCCTATTTCACATGAGAGGACCAAGCATATTGAGCTTGATTGTCATTTTGTCCGGGAAAACTTGCTGGTGGCCTCATTTCTTTGCATTACATTCCTACTACATCTCAACTGGCAGACATTTTTACCAAACCATTGACTGGCATTCAGCATCAGGTTCTGTTATCCAAGCTGGGAGTCTTTTCACCCTCCAGCTTGAGGGGGGGGGGGTGTTAGATTAAATTATGGCCCAACTCATACAGGCCACCAACTCATACAGGCCCAAACATATCTGAAGAGGAAATAGACCCAGGCCCAAGATGACAGCTTTACAAGTCTTGTAATGTTATTGTGTATATAGCCACACATGTAATAGATAGCTATTTATTATTGTTTAGTATAAATAGACTAATAATGGTTACATTGTATGAGTGTGACATTTTATTCAATACAATACAAATTTTATTCTCTGAAATTTCCTCTCTCTAGAACACTCGATTTAGGGTTTTCTTTTAGAGAAATCCATGGATTCTTAAAAATGAAAGATCACCCAAAATATGGGTAAATTTCACAAATAGTCATATAACTATGACTTTTTTTCACCAAAGTCATATAACTTTGTTCTCACATAAAAATCATAAAATTTTCACATATTCACACAAAAATCATAGTGGTCGGAAAATAAATTTCCGGTAGTATTTTCTTATTTTACTTACGTTTTTTATTTTTTTATTTCCAGTCTAATAAATAATTACCCAATTAAAATAGAAAAAAATGAGTATATTTTTAACCACTCCTAAAAATAATAGCCGATAAAATATTATATATATATATATATATATATGTGTGTGTGTGGGGGGGGGGTGTATTATATACATATAACATACACATTCTATATATATATATTTTGTCTAGCAAATGCAATTCGTTTCGACCAGACGGTTAATTTTATATTTTTTCCTTAAAATATGAATGACCCAACCCAGCGTGACCTAATACCCATATATGTAAGTTAAAATAATACTAAAAGTGAATTCTTTTCCCATATAGAATTTAGATCAGAATGCATGAGATTCTGACAAAAAAAATAAAGAAATAAAAGGTATAATTAGAGAGCACTTGAAATAAAAATGCTATCAATTTAAATAAAAATTTTGAAAAAAAATAAATAAAAGATAGAAGTATCATGTTTTGAAGGATTTACTATTCACTTTTAGTATTATTTTAATTTATATGTATAAGTATTGGGTCGGTGGGTCAGGCCGGGTTGAGTCATTCCTATTTCAATTGGATTATTATTTATTAGACTGAAAATAAAAAATAAAAAACCACAAAATAAGAAAAAACTACTAAAAGATTATATTTTTTGATCATTATGATTTTTGTGTGAGAAAACATAGTTATGTGACTTTGAAAAAAGTCACATTTATATAATTTTTGTGTGAGAAAACAAGGTTATATGACTTTGGTGAAAAAACATCATAATTATATGACCATTTGTGAAATTTACCCCCTAAAATTCCTACATATATATTGTTAAGTATTTAAATTTTACTTCAAACTCCTCCTTGTCTTTTCCGTAGGCTCTTGGAAAGTCCAACTATGAGAGCCATTCCATAAAAGGCGAGACAAAATAGGCGGGCACAAACGGTATAGTTTCTTGAGCCAATTTATCAAACAACGACTACTTGATTTATAAATTTAGTATTAGCTGCCTTAGGGCAAAGGAGCTTAGAAGGGTGATGAAGAGGAGTAGTTAGGTATAAAATCACTTATATAGAAGCATGCTAGAAAGAAAGAACGATAACTTCATGTTTATATTCTAAATTTAGATTTCTATCTTTGAGGAATTGACTTCCTCAATTGTTATATAGGAAGGCAAGGCAAGCTTGATGATAGACTATGTCACGATTTATCAATCATACTACAGGACATTGGATGCCGATCGATCTGTAAGAATTTAATTAGGTTAATTGCGGAACTCAACAAGTCATTGTTGAATAAAATCTTCATTATGATTATCCTCATAAAAGGAGTCCACTTTAGGCCGCAAGTTTGAAAATTTTGAATCCCTCGTTAAAATTTCTGACTCTGCCATTAATATTTGTCACCTCCAAATTCCTCAGTTGTTGAACATTTCTATTTCATCTTGTGAATTAGACAGACTATCGTCACAGACCATTTCCTCTTAATTTCACATATACCATTCTCTAAAAGTATATATCTATTGTGGGGAAGGTCTTCATTTAAAGCACAAACAAAATATTAGTATCCTTTTTAGCAGTAAAGCCGACTCTTCCATAAAACCCCCATCATAAATAAAAACTACTTATGCATTCGGTTGGGAGAAGCTTTCATAAAGGATAAAATATTCAAGTTTACTCCTGAAGTATTCGATTTGTTTCACATTTGCCCTCGATTTATCTATCGATCCACCAAAGCCTCCATCCTTATATTTTATTTTCAAATATGCCCTTCCTCCAAATGTTGTCCAGCTTGGCTATGACAATTTGCCATTGTGGAGTCTCATAGACAAATAATATGCGCTCGTGAGACTTTGCCGGCAGCTACACCATGATCCTCTACATGAGGCTGTCATAAAGGCATTGTGAGGCGCAGAAAAGTGATTATATAGCCAAGGCATAGAGGCAACACTACTGGTGCTATTGTCCCCCTTATTTGTTCTCTTCTTATGTGGTTCTTTTTTGCTTTTTATTATTAATAAAACTAGCCCTAGGCACCTGCCTAGTGGATTTGCTTAGAAAAAAAAACTATCAAATTGGTTTAGATATAACAGCTACAGTAATTTGAAGCATACTCTTGAACAATTGAACTATTGAAAATGTCCAAATATATTTCTATGCCATTGAAAAAGGTCCAAATATACCTCTATTTGGCTCCAACCCTGTATCAGCCAAATCAGAACAATTTCCATGATGGAAAACAGATTGGGTCTCACGACTTCACAAAAACATAATAGGTAATTTTCGTTAGAACATGGAGTGTATGTGTCCATTTTAATGGACAGAACACGAGGATTGTCAATCGTACCGAACAATAAGCTATGCCTAATTACTTGTGCCGTGTGATATGTGTAAACTAGAGATCCACATTACAAATTTTATCTATCATCATTTACTGCAAAAAAATTATGTACTATTTAAAAAGTGCCACGGCCAGTAAAATGTGAGAATAGAACTCAATCATAATGCAATATCTCTATATGAGCTTCTTGGAAATGACTTTTTCATTTTTAGTAAAAAAGCAGAAGAATGCTTCTGAATTCAAAGAATAATAAATGTGTCACAGTTTCCTTAAACTTCAGTTCAATAACATAAGGCAACTGTACTTACATGAGGAGTGTCTCATTTTTAAAATAGGAAGAGCAAGTGTTGGGACTGTTTACCTGAAATCGGATAACAATTAAATTTGTATGCGGTTTTAAGGATACGTGGATTGATTCAACACAAATAATCAAGAATATTAGACAAACGAATTAAAGACAAAATAATCGATCAAACCAGCTATAATGTTATGGCCTAACCCGAACCTAGGTTGAACAATAATTCTGCCCTCGATTGGACCTTTGGTTCGAGCCCGGTTGTGAATGAAGAACAAGGCAATTAAATAAGAACTTCTGCAGTAGCTAGAAAGCAGAAAAGGAATTGGTATTGCTTTGATTCACGTGCTACCATGTGTGTTACAAAAGAAAAATTTTCCCTTTATATAGTAGGAGAGTTTCATCCCTAGTACAAGTCTAAAAAGGTAAAAGTCCTCCTTTCTCGTTAATTACTGATCTGTAACTGACATCGAGCGAGATCTGCGCCGTGATATCCGGTTAGGTACGGATATCATGGCCTTCTATCCGTCGTGTGTAACCGTTTACCATATTTCCCGAGGTCTTAAAACTCGTTATGGGTTCGGGGAGCGTTGCTTTATCATGCCCGATGATGAACACATAGTTCACTTTTCATGGATCTCGATACGAAGAGCTCCCAGCCTCGATTTCAACCTTTGCATCTGTTCCCTTCTTCCGTCTTCTTCACGGGAAATCGGGATATGCATTATCCCCGATTTTACCTGTATACAGATAGTCCCCTCGTTTTTCTGAGAGTAGGTTTGCCGAAACAATGGTAAACGATAGATGGACCCCGGTTCCTTCCTTCGCACGTTACAACTGAGATGACAGGTAAATCGAAATGCCCCATCAGTCGCGTCGTTCTGACTTCAGACACGTGTCAGTCATCGGCTGGCTGCTTTCGAATGTGAAGCGTCGTGCATTGATTGTTTCCCCTATAAAAGCTTCAACCTTTTTCACTTTCCGACTCTAGATTTTATCCCCGATCTTTCAAACGGTTTTCAACTTCTCCAAGTCTTCATACCTTGTTCTTTGAGCCTTCATATCTTCATCTTCGTCCTCATACATTTTCTTTGGACCTTCAACCTAGACCTTCATACCATATTCAAATCTTCATTTTTTCTTCAACCCTTCATACTCTTCTCCAGACCTTCATATTTCACAAATTGCAATGGCAAAAACCTCCAAGTCAGTGCCTCAGCAGACTGCTCCTTCATCTTCCCACCCGACCGCAGATGTCGGGGTGGCCGTCCCTGAAGTGGCTCAGGAGCCTCCCATGAAGAGCTTCATACGGGGGCTGCTTTATCGGGGACAATTTCAAGGCCGAGAAGGCCTCTAGCCAACAACACCGAGACGAGGAAGAATGGAGATACATATGCTCCGTCACTGAAGAGACCCTACCCATAGTTCGAGCGGACTGTAAATGGGAGGGTAAGGACGTGGTTGTTCCCGGGCCCAATGACGATATTACTACTCATATGAAGAGATATTTGAGTGTTTACACTTAACCCTTCACGCTCGCCCCGGAAGACCCCATAGTCTTTGCTTTCTGCAAAAGGTACGAGGTGTGCCTTTGGCAAAAACACCCGTCCTTCTGGAGGATCGTGATCCTCTTATGCTATTTTGTGAACAACACTGAAGCCCCTCGGTTAACCCTCGACCATCTACTCCGCCTATACAATCCCCGAATCTTTTGAGGGGGACTGATCAAGCTCGTTCGCCGACCGAGCAAGGCTCCTTTCTCGAGCATCGATGAGTACCGAGACCGAGGTTGGCATGGGAGGTTCATTCGGGTGAAAATCGAAGACATGATCCCTATGAAGTTTCTGCCGTTGCCTGAGGAGTGGAACATATCCCGTAAGTATTGTCTTTCTTGAGTATTCCTTCCTTTTTTATTCTTTCTCTCATTGCTTGTTCTTGTGGTCGTGTAGTTGTTGCCCAAGTTCCTGATGCAATCCCCCGATTCAAGGAGTGGATCGAGGGAATCTGCAAGCAGATGCTGTACTTCGAGCACGCATGGCGCAAGCTTTCGAAGGGCAAATGGGAGGCCTATTCTCATGGTGAGGTACATCCTTGAATAATTATCACAATGCTCTTAACTTACACATTGCTAACCTTTTCTCTTTTCTTACAAGTTTTCCTAAGACCACCGAACTTAGGCCATTGGATGAGGACGAGGATCTATCCTCGCTTGTCGAGTTCTCCATTTCGGGACAGCCCGGGGCTATCGGGAACGAGGAGAAGAAGAAGAAGAGAAAGTCCTTGGGTTCCCTGGACGCCGAGGCAAAGAAGAAGAAAAGGGTGGCCATCCGGGTCTGGAAGCCCAAGAAGAGCACCAAGTATAGGATACCGGGCCCCGATGCTCTCTACCGGCTCAGGGACGAACTTGAAGATGGCGACCTTTTCGTCGCTCATGGGTTGACCCTTAATGAGGGGGAGCAGGTGACAACCAAGAAAGAGGACCCTGAGGTCGATCCCCCTCTAACTTAGGAACCAAAGAGAGAGACGGAGGTTGTGGCCTCCAAGGAAGCCGCCCCTGCTCTGAAGGAGGCAACCGGTGTTATCGACCTCACGGAGACGCCCTCCTATTACCGAGTCTATGCTCGAAGAGGCCCAAGCGGGTAAAGAGAAGTCAAGCGAGGTGGCGCTGGGCCCAGACGACGCTCTCAACACGTTTTTTGACGGCATGGATATGGCCACATTGGAGGATTTTTTCGGGCTTGGTTACCTGGAGATCTCGAAAAAGGATGTGTTCTAGGGAGCGGGCGGGTCGAGTTCGAGCCCAAAACTAGTGAAGCAATTCCCTTCACCGAGCGTAGACCCCGAGCGCAAGATAACGGTCATTCTCACAATCCCGGAGGATGCCCGTGTCTTGTCTACTCCGATGGGCGTAGCCAGCTACCTCCGACGCCTGGTGATTGAGGAGGACCATGCAAAGATGAATGAAGTAGGCACGTCGAGCCTCTTCAATGAGGCGTAGAAGGCTCTAAACCGGGTAAGGTGTCAACCCTTTTGTACCCCCTTTGCGAATCTCACTTTGGTTTTTGATGTCCTCCACTAACTCAATTGTTTTTCGGGCTTCAGTGCTTCACCATGAAAGCTTCCTCCGGTGCCGCTTGGAGATTAGCCATCTCGAGTTCGAGCTCAAAGAGCAGGTCGGAAGAAGGACATGTACATGGCTCTTAGTGAGCAGCAAGACGAGGCCCTCAAAGATCTCCCGATTCTCTAGCCCGAGCTAGAAAAAGCTCAGAAGGAGGCCTCGACCCTGAAGTGGGAACACACCGTCCTGGTGGAGAAGGTAAAGATCTTTAAGGCTAAAAACGAGCAGCTAGTCGTGGTGACTAACAACACAACTTCGTAGGTCCAACAGAAGATAGACTGGATCAACCAGCTTCGAGCTGAGATAGATGAGGTCAAGGCCACGACCGAAGTTTGGAAGGGAAAGATGGACCTACTAGCTTCGGAGAAGGAATCTCCAAACGCAGAGCTGGCATCGGTCGAGAACCAACTTCGGGTAGCGAAGGACAAAGCAGATAGGTGGTCTCGACTGAATGATGATCTTCAGGCAAAGCTGAGCTCGGTCGTCACGGAATGGGAGGCTCTCGGACAAGAATATGCGGCACTGAGATCCAAGTTGGATGCAACCTCTATTGATGCCGAGGAAATGGTAGCCCGGTACAAGGCCGATGTAGAGGCTGCCGAGACCCACTTAAAGACGAAGATTAAGTTCATAAAGCGGCTATCCCAAAGAGAGACCTTTGAAGAGGTCCATGCCCGAGGTTTTGACTATTCGGCCGAGATTGAAGAAGCTAGAAGGCTCGAGGCTGAGGCAAAGGAGATCTACGAGCCTAAGGGTCCCGAAGGCTCCGAGGGTTCCGAGGGCTCTGACGTCTCTGAGAGCTCCGACGAGTCGGGCCACAGTGAAACCAGGTGTAGCTGCCCTATTTTTTTTTCGATTTTTCCTTATGTATATTTTTTTGTTTTTTTGAGGCCGTTCTATCGGGCCTTTGTAAATATATTTTGGAGTATATAAATTTTTTCCCTTTCTGGCAGTACCGTGTCTTTACTCTTTTTAGCATCTTCTTGCAATTTCTATTTGTGTATTGTTTTTGATGCCTTAGAAAAAAAACAGACTTCGATGCCACTTTGGTTTACTTGTGGCTTCGAACCCTCGGTGAGACCGAAGGTTTTTAAGATGCTTAAGTGTTTTTAGATAATGTTTTGCCTCGGGTAACCATTTAGTTGGTTTTGAATTTTCATAAAGGCTTTACTTTCTGGGTACGGACCTCAGTCGTCTCCGAGCCATTTTCAAGGTGGTCGTAGCCTTTTATATTTAGGCACCGCCTTACGGGTTTGGTGCCTCTTGTCACACCTCCTTTTTACACATCTATCCCGAAGGATAGTGTATAAAGGGCGTTTTTCCATTTAAAGTGACATTATTCGAAATGGGATTATTTATTTATTTTTAGAGTCGCCACTTGGGATAGGATTGACTTTTGGTGTCCCAAGTCACCGGTTTTTAACTTAAATCCCAAATCGAGGAAAATTGTCGACTTCCCAATTGGAGTCTGCGAACTAGAAATTCTGAGTAAGGAATTCTGTTGACCCGAGGGAAGGTGTTAGGCACCCCCGGATCCCGTGGTTCTAGCACGGTCGCTTAAATTATTATAAATGGCTAAAATCTGAAATCTTTTACATGTTCAAACCTATAGTGCAATTTTACACTTTTTACCGCTTTTAATTATTTTAAAAGAAGATTGAACGTCGTTTAAAACATGTCTTTGGATCGCGTCACATGAAATGCACCCGCCATCCGAAACAAATTTTATTCAACGTTATTAAGATTTGGATTTGGGTCACATGAAATGCACACCCGAGTTTAGGAAGGTAATTTTTAAAATAGAGCGCCTAAAGCAACTACGCACTTTCAACTTTGCGAGGGCCATGGAAAATTCAACTAATGGCACACCTCGATTCTAATTTCAATGGGTTTTATTATTCAAAGTTGTTATAATCGAGTTACATGAAATGCACCTCCGAACCTTAGTCGAGGTACCAATAACATAAGCTTGATTCAACGTCTTAAAGGAACGCCATTAAGATTAAAAGGTCCAGCAACAAATAGAAGCCCAGAACCAAGTTTCTCAACCTACTTGGTGAAATACTCATCATCAATTCACACCCGAAACATTGACCTTCTCGTCCATCAACAGGAAAGTAACACACTTAACCAAAAAGCTAATGAAGCCTAACACTTAACAGAGATATCATTTCATGGTGCAAACATGTTATTGAACACGTCCTCAAGAGGTCGATTCTGGTATTACTGTATGTCCTTTCTATGTAATAAGTATAATTTTAACACGTTAATGAGTAAGCATAGAAACTCAAACATCAAAGCAGATAGCATAAGGCTGGAGCAAAATACTAACAATAAAGCGTTTCATTTCTCGAAAAACAAAACAGAAAATTCTGCACCATGGATAACTAGTAGAACACCAGTAACAAGGTAATACCTGGATTTTAAGCGCAAATGGACCTTGATTTACACAGATCCTTCTATATATGAAAATCTCTCTAACACAAAGGGGAAAGTTCGGTAAGAACTCATCGGGAAACAAAGGACTCGTCGGCGCCGGAAACTCGACAACGTACGGGATGAAAACGAGCCATTTGTGACTGCTTTTACTGGTTATTGGGGTCAATTTCGAACAAATCTCATGGTTGTTGCTGGGTGCCAATTTGGATGTGTTCTATATGTGTTCGTTGCTCATTTTTTTGTTTATGTTCGCCGGAAATGGTGGTGTTGAGAGGAGATCGGGCTGGCGTTGGTTGTTGCAGGTTTTGTTTTGGAGATGAAAATCGCTGGAGGAGACCGCTGGTTGGTGAAGTCTGTTGAAGGGCTGGGGTTTCGCTGATGTTTTGGAGGAGCAGCGGTTGCTGCTCTTGTGTGTGTGCTAGGGTTTTCTTGTGTCTCAATGAAGAAGAAGATGAGATTCAGATAGAGGTCGTGAATTGCGGCTGATTGGTGTGTTTTTTGTGTGTTTATATTTTAGGTGTAGGTACTATTATATAGGGGTAGAAATTAGGTTAGGGGTATGGGCCTAGAAATTATGGGCTAGGGATTTTGGGCCAAAGACTAAAAAATGGACTATAAGATTTATAAAAACGGGATAAACCAACCTAAAGCTAATTCTTTCTTCTAAAATTATGTACAATTATAATATAAAAATATAAAACTAATTTTAATTAATTGAACTAAACTATAAAACATAAAACTATTTTTTCTTCAAGATTATAAAATAAAGATGGGGTACTATTTTTGTATTTTTTTTAAGATTAAAAATGACTATAAAATATTAATAAACCTATTTTTTTTGAAATTTTTATTTCTGTAATAAAATAAAGTAAAATAGTAAAAATTAGTTGAAATGTCGATATTAGGCCTAAACTAAATATTTATATGCTAAAATGGGTAAAATTTCGGGGAGGGTCAAAAATCACATGTCAACACCTATATGATTCGGTAGCCCGGGTCATTCGAATTTTCCTTGGCGGCAGTCCTCGAGTAGGGGTAGCCCGTGGGCTCGATAGTTCCTGAATAGGAATAGCCCGTGGGCGTTTGGATCTGGGGCCAAAGAAGCAAAAATGTGCAGCAGGAAAGTGTAAGGAAAATTTCTTTCATTGCTTAGTATGCAAGGTACACGATCGAACACGCATACAAACTTGTGCCATGGCTAGAGTGGACTATGTGGGCACGATTCATACGACCATTTGGCCCTTACAAAAAATCCTAACCACCAAGCCTTAGCTTTTAGCACATAGAATTTTCTTCTTCCCTCGCCGAAGATCTTAATCCTAAGGCAATGGCTCCCAGTATTCATGGTCGAACTCGTGAGGGCTCGGATACTATTGACCTGAAGCAAACGATCATTGATTCTGGCTGAAACTGGTCTTTAAATCTAAGGCAGCACATTTTACTGTTCTCTCGTTAAATACCTTGCCTAACAACCCACTTTGGGACAAAACCGGTTAAAGGAAAAAAGAGTACAACGCGTGCTTCCAGACCTAATAGCCACATTCGTCCTTGGTTGATTACCTGCATACATTAGTTCGATTTATAACATGATTAAAAAGTAATTGAGTTCGTACCTTAGCAGTAGTACCACTTTAAGTGTGTCACGTTCCAGTAGTTTGGTAGTTGTACATTGTTTCCCGCTTCGAGTTTATATGAGCCTTGCTGGTTATTCCGGCAACTCGATATGGTCCTTCTCAATTCGGGCTTAGTTTCCCTTCATTCGGGTTCTTGGTATGTAGTGTTACTTTTCTCAACACCAAGTCCGTGACTTGAAAGTATCGGAGGTTGGCTCTTCGGTTGTAATACCTTTCTATTCGCTGCTTCTGGGCAGCCAACCGAACCAGGGCGGCCTCTCGCCTTTCATCCAATAGTTCCAGGCTTGTGATCATGGCATCGCCGTTTGGCTCTTAGGTCGCGTACTGGAACCTGAGCTTGGTTCTCCCACCTCGACTGGTATTAAGGCTTCGGCTCCGTAGACCAAAGAAAATAGGGTGGCCCGAGTGCTCAATTTCAAAGTTGTACGGTATGCCCACAGGACTTTTGGCAGGATCTCCTTCCATTTCCCTTTCGAACCGGTTAACCTCTTTTTCAAGTTTTGAAGTATATTCTTGTTCGTTGATTCCGCCTGCCCATTGCCACTGGGATGATAAGGTGTCTATAGTATCTTCTTGATCTTGTGGTTTTCAAAAAACTTACTCACCTTGCTGCCGATGAATTGTTTTTTGTTGTCGCAAATGACCTCGACCGGTATCCCAAATCGACATATTATGTGATCCCAGATGAATTCAATGACTTCTTTCTCCTAGACCTTCTCGAATGCTTGTGTATCAACCCACTTGAAAAAATAATCGGTTATGAATAGTATGAATTGAGCTTTACCGGGTGACTATGAAAGAGGACCGACGATGTCCATTCCCACTTCATAAATGGCCACGAGGACAGGATCGAGTGGAGCATTTCTCCCGGTTAATGGATCATCAGAGTGTGTCTTTGGCAGTCGTCGCATTTCCGTACGAAGTCCTTCACATCCTTCTCCATTTCGGTCCAGTAATAGCCGGCCCTAATTAGTTTTCGAACCAAAGATTCTGCACCCGAATCGTTCCCACAAGTGCCTTCGTGAACTTTTCTCACGGCGTATTCGATCTCTCTCGGTCCCAAGCATCTGGCTAGCGGACTATCGAAGGTCCTCACGAACAATGCCCCTTCGACCAAGCTAAATCTGGCAGCCTTGGTGCGCATTCATGTCTTCAAGTAGTCTATGCATTTGTTCCTCCAATCCCAAGTTAAACTCGTTGAGTTTACTTCGGCGTGGCCTTTTTCCATCATCGAGTTCATTAGCTGCACTACTGCTCCCGAACTGAATTCATCAGAATCGACCGATAACCCGAAGTTAGCCAGTGCTGGCTTCACTGTTCTTATCTCAGGGTACATGCTGTAGGGTCCATTCCCTGAGTTGATGTAGGGTTACGTGTAATTTTTCCAAGTACCTTTGCATCTGTTCTTCTTTTACTTCGGACTTCCCCTTAACTTGATTTACCACAAGGAGAGAGTCGGCTTAGCTTCGATCACCTCAGCCCCAAGGTTTTTAGCCAATTCTAGACCTGCAATCATGGCCTCATACTCGGCCTCGTTATTAGTCAATTTCTTAGTTCTAATAATTTTCCTGATTACATTTCTTGTAGGTGGTTTCAATACGACATCGAGCACGGACCCATTCGCGTTTGATGCACCGTCCGTGAAAAGGGTCCAGATCCCCGAAATGCCCTCGAGGTTAATAATAATTCCCTTTCAACTTCGGTTATTAAGGCCGGCGTAAAGTCAGCCAGTAAATTTGCCAAAATCGGAGACTTTATGGAGGTTCGAGGTCGATACTCGATACTGTACCCGCTAATTTCCATGGCCCATTTGGACAACCAGCCCGAGAGCTCGGGCTTGTGCATGATGTTCCTTATTGGGTAAGAGGTCACAACACATATGGGGTGGCATCGGACGTACAACTTTAGTTTCCTGGAGGCGCTTAGCGAAGCGAGCGCCAATTTTTCCAAGTGAGGATACCTTGATTCGGCCTCACCTAGATTTCTACTGACATAGTAAATAGGAAATTATGTACCTTCTTCCTGCTGACCAAGACTCCACTTACCGCCACCTCAGAAACTGCCAGTAGAGGTACAACTGTTCGTCTGCCTTCGGAGTGTGCAGTAGGGGCGAACTCGATAGGTACCATTTGAGTTCTTCCAAAGCTTTCTAGAATTCCAGGGTCCAGGAAAAGTTATTCTTCTTCTTTAACAGTGAGAAAAATTGATGGCTTTTGTCCGAGGACCTCGAGATAAACTAGCCCACGACGGCTATACGCCCGGTTAGTCTTTGAACGGCCTTGACGTTGTCCCCCACGGTGATATCCTCTGTGGCCTTGATTTTGTCGGGGTTGATCTCGATACATCGATTGTATACCATGCACTCGAGGAATTTTCCCGATCCGACCCAGAATGCGCACTTCTCTAGGTACAGCTTTATATTGTATTTCTTTAGTATATCGAAGGTCTCCAAGAAATGTTTCAAATGGTCCTCTGCTCGTAGGGACTTGACCAACATATCGTCAATATAAACTTCCATTGATTTTCCTATCTGTCCCTCGAACATCCGGTTTACTAGGCATTGATAGGTGGCACCGACGTTCTTTAATCCAAACGGCATTACATTATAACAGTAGGTGTCAAATTTAGTGATGAAAGAAGTCTTTCCTTGGTTGTCCGGGTCCATCCGAATTCGGTTGTACCCGAAATAGGCATAGAGAAAGTTGAGTATCTCATGCCCGGCAGTCGCGTCGATCATCAGATCTACGTTAGGCAAAGGGAAAAAATCCTTAGGGCACACTTTGTTTAGGTGTTTGTAATCTACATACATTCTTAACTTATTTCCTTTTTTAGGCACTACCACTACGTTAGCTAACCAGTCCGAGTATTTAACTTCCCGGATGAACCCTATTTTAAGGAGTTTGGATACCTCGTCCTTGATAAACGCATGCTTGATCTCGGACCGTGACCTCCTCTTCTGCCTAATCGGATAGAACTTTGGGTCCAAACTTAGCTTATGAGTGGTTACCTCCGGTGGAATCCCTGTCATGTCAAGATGGGACCAAGCAAAACAATCTATGTTAGCTTTAGGAAAGTCAATGAGTTTTTTCCTGTGCTCGGGGGTTAACCCCGTGCAAAGGTATACCTTTCGATCCAGTAGGTGTTCGATTAATATGACTTGCTCCAATTCTTCGACCGTCGATTTGGTGGCCTCGATATCATTAGTAGCTATGAACAATCTCGGGACTCCGTAATCATCCTCCTCGTGTATTCCTCGTTCCTCCGGTTCGGCAGAGACCGGTATCAGTGATTGCTGTTTAATTTCTTCCTTTCTGGTCGGCTCAGCGTTCCTTGATGTTGAAACCATGGGCACCGGGATTACCTCGTCGACCGCGATCATCTCCTTTGCGGCCGGCTGCTCTCCGTAGACCATTTTTAATCCTCCCAGTGTAGGGAATTTGAACGCCTGGTGCAAGGTCGAGGGTACCTCCCTCATGTTGTGAACCCACGACCTTCCAAATAGAGCGTTATACCTCATGTCCCCTTCGATCACGTAGAACTTTATTTCTTGGATCGTCTTGGCAGTGTTCACCGGCAGGGTTATCTCCCCTTTAGTGGTTTCGCATGCCATGTTAAATATGTTTAACACCCAAACTACTGGCACTGTTTGGTCCTGTAACCCCAATTGCTCTACGACCCTCGATGTGATGATATTAGCCGAGCTACCTGGATCAATCAACACACGTTTAACTCGATATTTATTGATAAGTATGGATACTACCAGCACATCATTGTGAAGTTGAACGATGCCCTCGGCATCATCATCTCTGAACGAAATTGTTCCCTTTCGGATGTAATCTCGGGTGCATTTTTCCCTTGTGATAGATACTTTAGTGTGATTTATCATTGTCCCTTGGGGAACATTGACCCCTTGAATGATCATGTTGATGACATGTTGAGCCTTCTTTTGTTT